AGCCTCGTCAACTATATGCTCTTCAACCTTTGTAACAGGTAGAAGTATGGGTACCTCGGGAGGGGCATCACCATGTGGAATGTCATCCGCCATGTGGAAATATAGTAGTAGTGAGAGAAAATAGGGAAAAATAAGGAAAATAGGTGAAAAACCCAAAGGTCAAACCCTAGGAGAGAGAAAAAGTCAAAACTCGAGAGAGTGTGCGGAAACCAAGGAAAACCCGTGAGGAATGAGCCCCACACAATGATAAACCACAAAACTCAACCAAATCAAATTTCAATCGGTTCAAAATATAGAAGACTATGAGTGTTTTGCAAATGAAGTTCGCGTGGGACCTTGGGTAACGCGAATAAAGTGCAAATCTAGAGAGAGAGAACACCTATAGAGAGAGGTAGAGTGTTTTCAGAATGTTTGGTGTATGAAAATGAGGCTTAGGTGTTGTTTTAAACAAGCCACGGGTTGCAAACCTCGTTTTACTCCCGAATCTGGATCGGGTGGCCGGCCGTCCACCTTTTGACGGGCCATCCCCTTTTTGTGGCTAGCTGACTCCTCAATAGTCCAAAGTTAACTTTTTGCTGAGACCTTGTATGGATGGTCCTGTATTCATCCTAAAGTGGTAAATTGAAGAATTTGGGTTTTTTTCGACTTTCGACAATTTTGAAAGGTGATTCTGGATGTACTGTTTCAAGTCCCGTCATTTCTCTGAAGTGGAAAGTGCCCTGATCTCAAGCTTGAGCAAGTTGTATCCTTTTCTGGACATTTGAGGACCTCCGAATTGTAAGTCGGAGATCTTTGTGAGGTGTTTTTTGAAACACCGCTTTTTGTTTATCTTTTCAATTTTGTCACCTATTCTGTTGCATGGAGCATGCACCGCATTGTTTTTCGCATCAATTACAGTAATTAGATTGTAATTATGTTGCATTCATATGCATCGTGTTTTTCATTTTATTGTGTTCACTCTTGTCACATGAATGTGATTCAGCTTGTGCCCCTTTACCCTTTTCGCGCGAAGCATGGTTTGGCTTATACCTTTTGTCTCACCTCCTCTTTGTGTGAAACGTAGTTTGGCCTCGCATCTTCTTCCCAGTTAGAACCTCCCCTCTCTCTGTATGAAATACAGAGAGATACACCTATTGTTTACACCACTTTTGTTCCCTGATTAAAACCTTCCCTCTTTCCGTACGAAATATAGAGAGATATGCCTGTTGGTTACACCACCTTTCTTGTTACCTAGTTAAAACCTTCCCTCTCTCTGTAAAAAATACGTTGAGATATGCCTGTTGGTTACACCATCATTGTTCTTCGGTTAAAACCTTCCCTCTCTCTATATGAAATATAGAGAGATATGCCTGTTGGTTACACAATCCTTGTTCTTCGATAAAACCTTCCATCTCTCTGTATATAGAGAGATACGCCTGTTGGTTGCACCATCCTTGTTCCTCGGTTAAAACCTTCCCTCTCTCTATATGAAATACAGTGAGATATGCCTGTTGGTTACACCACCCTTCCGTTCTTTCGCGTGAAACACGTTAGGACGTTGCTTTGCCTGGTTACAACCTCCTATTTCTCCGTATGAAATACAGAGAGATACGTCTGCTGGTTGCACCATTTTTCCCTCATTTCACGTGAAATGTGTTTGGGAATTGTTGTTTACTTACTTCATTCCATGTGAAGCACGGTCAGATTTGTGGGTATAAGCTTTTCATTCATATGTTGTCATCCTATTATTGTTCATTGCATTGACTTGCATGATCATGGATTTTCCAAAATAACTGGATTTGTGAAGCGTGTAAGTCCAGCTTTCAACTGTATTCTTGTGCATATCATTTGCATCTTGCCCTTGAACTACGCTGGTTTGATTCCTTGCAAAGGGATAAGTAGGCTGTTTTCGAGTTCAACCAATTGCATTTACATTTTGATTGTTTGCCCAAGTCTTACAGCCTTCCCAAATGGGTCGTCTTTGGACTTTGACATTTACTCATGTTATTTCATGATTTCGAGCTCTATCAAAGAGGGACAACTGCAGACACTCCATTTTTGACTGCCCTTAAGAATTGAGTGCCTCAGGTTAAACACTCGATGATGAAATAATACGATGTACAAACCGTTCAATTTGTTTAGCGAGAAAGCTTCGGTTTTGAGTTTCAGAGCCTAAAACCTTGCACCCCCTTTAGACCAAAACCTAATTTTTTCTAGTTTGACAACTTAGAGGCCTGTTGCCCAAAAGGTGGCTGGTAGGCCATATTTTTCTGGCCAGCGGTCCCCCTCTATGGCCGGCCGGCCATGTTTCCTGGCAGGCAAATATTTTGCTGCCAACTGTTCCCCATGTGCATGCACTACACTAACTGGCTCAATACATATATTTCCAATAGGGGAACTTGTTTTTCTATGAATAGATGACCATCCCTCATGGTTTTTGGTGAGAAAAATTTGCCAAGTACCCAAAACTTGCCAAACACTCTCCCTCCCTATCTTATAATATACATACATTATACATACACTTCCTGAACCAAAAATTTGAGGCTCCTTGCTGAGATTATTGAACCCAAATTTCAGCCTTTGAGAGGATTCAACTTGTGGTTTGTGAATAAAAGAGTATATTCTCTTCAAAGGTATAACTTTTGCCATCTTTTTGCCTTGTTTAAACTACTCTTTTGTTCTTTTTTTCACACTATTTTGGAATGCTTTTAAGGGCTAAACTTGTGATTTAAAAGCTACCAAAAGGTAGAGGGGTTAACTACCCTTTCTTGAGCCTTACTCCATAACTTATATTCTTGTGTTTCTACACTTGCTTCTGAACTTTTAGCTACTGATTTTTAGAGTTTTCAGAGGCTAAAACATGTGATTTAATGTTCCAAAACGTGGAGGGGTTAGCCAACCATTCCTTAGGCTTTTTACTAGCTTTATTCTCTTCTTTTTTTGGTTTACTTTTCCTAGCCTTTTCAAAATAATTTCAGCACTGTTTTCTTGTTTTTGGGGCTGTTTTAATGTGTTTACTTAGTTATGCTTTGAATACCATGCTTGTATTTTTGTAAGTCCTCATAGATTTGGTGGTTTAGGCCATAGACACCAATCTATTTGAGTTGATAGATTTCTTTACATAATTTCCATGTAAATATTCATATGTTGTCATGGTCACCTTTGCATAATTATCTCTGTAATCTTGGAGAAGAAATTTACATGGAGCAACTGGAGGGTTTTGTTGAAAAAGGGAAAGAGAAATTTGTTTGCAAATTGAAGAAAAGTTTGTATGATATTAAGCAAGTGGCGCGACAATGGTACAAAAAATTTGACTTTTTTTTAATGAATAATGGTTTTTCTAAAACCGCTTCGGACCATTGTGTGTTTGTGAAAAATTTTCCAGATGACAAATTTATTATTTTTTTACTTTATGTTGATGACATGTTAATTGTGGGTCAAGATTCTACCATGATTAATAAGTTGAAGTTAGAGTTGAGTAAATCTTTTGCGATGAAAGATTGGGACTGGCAAAGCAAATACTTGGTATTAAAGTTGTTCATGATCACAAAAAGGGACTGATTTGGTTGTCTCTAGAAAGCTACATTAAGAAAGTTCTTGAGATGTTCAACATGGATAAAGCAAAGTCAGTTGGTTGTCCACTTGTGGTTTGGTGTTGGTTATAATATATAGTTTTATATATTATATCTAACTTTTAGAGGTCCAATGGGTATTTAATAATCTGTTTGGTGGCATCTAGGGTTTTCATAAAAAGCCAAAGAATCAATAATATATTTATATATATATATTGTTTTTGTTCTTCCGAATATACACCGGCTGCTACAATATTGTTTCAGTGGGTTTTGGTTTTTTGTGGTAGCAACAAATTTGATATAGTGCTTGCTGGGTAATTCAATTGGTGAATTAAAAGCTTGGTGAATTTCAATTCTGTGGGTTTATTTTGGCAGTCACGGTGTGGCTGATTTAGGTTGTTATTTTGGGTCTTCGACAATATGTTTTGAAGACTTTTGTTCATTTATTTGGTGATGTCTTTCCTCTTATTTATTTGTGATTATTTGGAATTCACCTAAGGGTGGTTTTGTGAAACCATTCGTGTCTCGTTTATAATCGTTTGAAAATTGTTGGTTGATAATGGAATTGGATTTCGATCCCATGGATGTACCTCACATTGAGGGAACCACGTAAAATTCTTGGGTCGCCGTTGATTTAATTTTTCCGCATTAGTTTTTATTTCCATTGATTGATTTACTTGTGGAAAATCATATATTTTCCCTAACAAGTTCCTGATTCAATCAGTAATCTTAAAGCCTTGAATAGTGTGTACCTCATTGAGTGAAACTTTTTAGGGTCCATTCCAGCTTCTCTTGGGAACCTTAACAAATAACCAATTTGTACTTCTTGTATAACAGTTTTAGCGGTCAAATCCCCTTATCGATTCCAAACCTTGCAAAGCTTACTCGCTTGTTTCTTTCTAATAACAATTTGAACGAACAATTACCAGATTCCTTTGGCAACATGAGCAAACTTGCTTTCTTGAACCTTTCTGGAAATCAGCTAACAGGTCCCATTCCTTTGTATGCAATTGTGTTTTCTAGGTTAGCTTACCTTGATTTAAAAGATAACTCACTCAATGGGACAATACCATCTCGGTTATTTACTCTACCTTCACTGGTTTCTAAAGAATTAAGACACAATAAGTTGCAAGGACAAATTCTAGGATCTGTTTATGAACTCACGAACCTGACACACTTGTCACTTTTATCAAATAACTTAAATGGTATAGCGGAGCTAGATAGGCTTCTAAAGATAAAATATCTCTCCCATCTTGACCTTTCATATAACGGTCTCTCATTGAGCATCAACAACTGTGTCAACTCTGCCATGCCCAAATTTTACACTATAGGATCAGCTTCTTACAACTTCAGCGAATTTCCAAACTTCTTGAGAGCATAGACTAAATTTCTTCTCTAGACCTTTCAAACAACAAAATTGGTGGTGAAGTTCCATAATGGGTATTGGATATGGGGAAAAATTCATTGAAGGATTTAGATCTTTCGAATAATTTTCTTACTGGTTTAGAGAAACTTTCATGGCAAACACTACAATTTATTGACCTACACTCCAACTTACTCCATGGACCACTCCCTATTCCACCTATCACCACAATTGCTTTGTCTATCTGAAACAATAAATTGACAGGTGAAATCCTTCCTTTAATTTGCAGTCTAAACTCACTTAAAGTTCTTGATCTGTCTAATATCAATTTCAGTGGCATTATTCCACATTGTTTAGGAAACTTTAGCATTTACAAAAGGTAACATGTTGAGGCATCTTAACTTGAATGGCAACCAGATTGAAGGTCAAGTTCCGCGAGCTTTACTTAATTGTGAACACTTGGAAGTTCTAGATCTTGGAATAAATAAGATAAATGATACATTCTTCCACTGGTTAGGAACTCTTTTGGAATTGCAGGTCTGGTCTTGAGATTTAATAGGTTTCATGGTCATATAGACGCCTTTAAGACCAAGAGTAAAGTTCCTTTCACTAAGTTGATGATTATTGACATATCTTACGATGAGTTCAGTGGCCTTTTGCCAACCAATTATATCAAAAAATTTGAAGCAGTGATGAATGTGGATGAACATGCAATGAAATTGAAATTGAAATACATGGGTGATATCTATTATTACGATTATGTGGTGGTGATTATGAAAGGACATGAGATTGAATTTTCAAGAATCTTAACCATCATGTCAATCATTGATTTATCGAGCAACAAATTTATAGGAGAGATTTCGAAATCCATTGGGAGACTTAATTCACTTCTAGATCTTAACTTATCTCATAACCTCAAAGGCCATATCCCAACTTCACTTGGAAATTTGAAAAACCTTGAATCATTGGATCTATCCTCAAATAAGTTTCTTGGGGAGATTCCTCAATAATTGACAAGGTTGATGTTTCTTGAGGTACTAAACCTTTCGGTTAATCAACTAGTGGGACCAATTCCTCAAGAGTGCTAGTTTAATACATTCGAAAAAGATTCATATAGTGGGAACTTGGCCTTGTGTGGATTTCTCTTATCAGAGAAATGCTAGAATAATGAAGAAGATGCAAATTGAAACTTAGCAAGTGTGGGAGCCGAGTAATATGGATCGCGAAATGGCCGAATACTTGAACCTGGAAAGTTGGAATATAAATATAGTATTCGACTTCCTCCCGCATATTAGGCCTCCTACTCTATTCGGTCCAAAGGCCGATAGAGTAAGAGGCCGATTGAAAAGCAGTCCGCTACGAAATAGGCCGAATGCCGAATTGAGAATGGGCCAAATCCCGAGGCCCCAGAGAGAAAAGATATATAAATAGAAGAACATCAGCCAGAAAGAAGTATGTGAGAATAGTTGTGCTTAACTTAGAATACAAGTAATCTTGAGTGTGGAGACTAACTTGTCCGTCGGAGTGCTAATTCTTGCACCCCGACCGGAGTGTTTATTCCTTTTCAACTGACTATCAGCGGATCACGAGTGTCCCCCAGGATCAGAAGAGTATTTCCAAACCACTTCTCCACAATTGACGCCGTCTGTGGGAATACTCAAGCATATCCATGGCAGGTGTAGACACCCCATTTTTGACCATCCTTAAGACTTGGACGTCATCGTTTGAACACTCGATGATTACCCTTGTTTGTGTTCGTCTTGAGTTCTCGGAGGTTTCGGCTACGCGCCTTACCTCAAGACCTCTCGACTTGTTTGTTTTGTGTTTGGTTTTGCATCAAACACTTGTTGTTTTGCTTCTGAGGGTGGGAAATAGCTTGTAGGCCATCCCCACACCTCACTGGCCATGGCTTGAGGCCACTGGCCTTGTTTGCTTGCCACCGGCCGTTGGTGATGGCCGGTCGGCACTATTGATGGTTGGTCGGCATTGTGTTTGGTCGGCCGGCCACTTTTTTCTGGCCAAGACCTTTTCTTGATGGGGTTTGAACCTTTTGAACCCTTGGTTTTAGCTTCTTGAGGAAGCTTGAACCTTTTGAACCCTTGATTCTAGCTTCTTGAGGAAGCTTGAACCTTTTCAACCCTTGGTTTTAGCTTCTTGAGGAAGCTTAAACCATTTGAACCCTTGGTTTTAGCTTCTTGAGGAAGCTTGAACCTTTTGAATCTTTGTTCTAGCTTCTCTAAGAAGCTTGAACCCTTTTGTCTAGCTTCTCCAAGAAGCTTGGCCCTTTTGCCTAGCATCTCCAAGAAGCCTGGCCCTTTTGGCCCTTTTTGCTGCAAGCTTCTAAGAGAAGGTTGGACCCTTCTTCCTCTATAAAAGAAGAGCTCTTCTTCCATTGCAAGGGTTCCAAGAAATTTGTCTAAGGCAAAAACCATACACTTCCCTCCATATTTCTACATTCCAAGCTCCAAAGTCCATAGTTCTTGGCCCCTTTGCACCACAACTCCTAAGCCCACACCTCCACCACTCATCTAAGGTTCTTGGAGGGTCTTGTGGGGACTCAAGACTTGGTTTTGACTCAGAAAAACCTGCTGGAGTGCTGATTTTGAAGAAGGTCTTCAAGGGTGAGTTTTTTCCTCTTTTATTCCCTGTTTTTGCACAAGTTTTTAGCCTATCTTGCACACTGTTTTGAGCTTAGTGTATAACTGATAAAAGATCTATTTTTTCATGCTTTTGAAGTTTTTTTAATACCACTTTTGTGTTTGGGGTTGTTTACCCCCTCTTAGGCCTTGTTTGGCCCCCATTTTGTGCTATTTTGGTGCGCTCCGGGACCACCTTGTTTGGGCCTCCTCACCACTGAAATATTGAGGGATTTTAGTGGTAAGGATGGTGGTTTAAGGTCCTAAGAAGGAGAGGGCCATCCCCTCTCCTTGTTGCCTTCAATATTGGCCATTTTTGCCTCGTGTGTGAGCATCATTCTTAAGTTCATGTTGACCATGTCTTAGTAGGTATTTGATAGTATTTTGTCATGTTTTACCTCTATTTTAAGTTGGTTTAGACACACCATGCTTGCTTTGCATACTTGTCTTGTAATGCCATGAAATTGCCTTAACATGTATCTAGCATTTAGAATACTATGCTCACTTGTTTTGGCTTGGCTTTGTGAAGCTTTTATGCATGTTTTAGTGTGCTTGAGGACTGTTTTTGGTTGTTTGGGTCATCCATGCTTTGCTTTGTATAGCTACCATGTAATCTCCCCTGTAGGCCTTGAGTGTTGGAACCTCTAGCATGCTCTATTTGCATTATTTTAGTGGTTTGGAACCACTTGCTATGTCATTTCAGTCCTTATGGCATGCTTGTATGCTTGCATTTGATGCTCCTTTAATACTTTAAGAGTTTGGTGTCTTATGCTCCATGTTTAGCCCCTTTTGCATGCCTTTAGAATTAGGCCATTTAGATGCCATTGAGGTGTGTCTTTGACCTTGTTTCGACATGATTTGGGGTTGTTTTGTTTCACTTTGGTCATTTGCTTCATGTGTCACATGACCATAGTTTAAGTCCTTGGGCTTGGTTCCATGCCTTGCATGCTTGTTAGCTTAGGTTGTATGCCTAGTGCACATTGCTTGCGCCTATGCTCATGTTGCATACTTAGCTCACATGCTTAGGTTGCATTTGGCATGCATGCCTTGCCTTTTGATTAACCATGATTGAGGTTGGGCCCTTTGTTTGTTTGTATGAATTTCATTCTAATATTGAATTGCATGCTTTGGTTTCTTGGGCCATCACGCATTGAAATGCGCGATTGGTGGTCCGAGGGTCGAGGACCATCCTCCTTTGAGTCATGAACATGATAAGGAGGGTGTTGGTGTAAACATTGCTTTGAAAATACTTTGCCATGCCTTGTCTGTCCTCTGTTGCCGTCAAAACAGGTTTCTACAGGAACCTTTGGCTGGCCGACCATCTATACTGCCAATCGACCAAATATTTGTGGCCGAGAGCGCCATAATTGGTCGATGACGAACTCCCTTTGGCCGGTGGTGATTCCTCTTGGTCGGTGGTGTTCCACAGTGTCCATGGATTGTACCTTGGGACTTGTGCAATTTCAGAGGAGTAGAGTACAGAAAACAGAGGCAGCTTGTGCATGGTGACAGATTTCTGAGCAAACCCGAGCACACATGCAGCGGACCCTCTTCCCGAGGCTGTTTATTGCTTTCTACTAGTTAGGTGGTCTGTAATAATTAATTAGTTTGTAGGTTAATTAATTTGTATATTCTTTTGGTTCCTCTGAGCGAGGGCGAATTTGTAATAAGTGTGGGTGCGTGTGTGCATGTCTTCCAACCCCCACTTCTTTCTCCCTTTTACTTACCTGCTTTCAATGGTTAGTATTAGGGCATGTTTCAGTTAGCATACTTATGCTCGCATGTTTGCGTCATTCATTTGTCTTGCATGCACCGAGCTCGACGCATCATACTAACTGCATTGTACTTAAATTCCAAATTGAATACATGTTATCTTTGCATCTCATATGCCATCTTAGAATAGTCGAACCTATATCTTAGTTGCATTTTGCACGTGTTGCATTAGCCATCTTAACATGAACTAGGATCATGCATTGATTACTAACTAGTTTCTGTTTTGGCTTGGAGTACTCGGTAAGTGTTTATGCTTTAGCATCCTTGCCTGCGTGTGAGTGACTGCCATGACAGCATGCTTGCCATGAGGCTAATTGTTTATGTGATATAACTGCCTGAATGCCTGTAGGTGAAGGTTGGATTGCTTGAATTAGGACAATTCATTGAAATCTGTATTTTAGCCTACTTGCGAGTAGCAAACTTCAAACCATTTTCCAAACAAACGGATATGCAATGCTTTGTTCCAAATTAGGCGATCTAGTCTATACTTGTTTTGCTATGCACATCACATAGTAATTCTAGGCTAATTAACCGAAATAAGAATGCATGTGTTTTCAAAAACTAGCTATCATGGTTAGTAGAGGCCGATCTTTGATCGGGCGAGCGGGGGTGCTCATAGCTGACCTTCCCCAATCTTACCCAAGTTCCCGAGCCGAGGCAACTTTGGTGATGATGGACACGTGGCCTTAGGCACGAGTCAGGGTTTCCTAAATTTTTCCAAAATAAAATATTTAGGTGGCGACTCTGTATCTGGCAAAGCAGTCCATGTTTGGCACTTCTTTTCTAAAAATCTGTTTTTCTCAAAACGATTTGCCGGATTTGGACTCTTTGATTCAGATTAAGAACCGTGACAATTTGAGTCTGAACTGTAGTGAGCCCCAATGAACAGAACGGGGGTTCTCCCCCGGGGCGTTCGGGGACGTCTACAGTTTCTGGCGACTCTGCTGGGGAGACTAGAGAGCTTGATTCGAACTCATGATATCTTGTTTTGACTACACTTATGTGTTTCTTTGCATTGCATGTACATTGGTGCACCTAGGACACCGTGTTGGCCATCTGCTATTCCTGAGTGGTTTGCCAGAGGCTGCGTGCCATAAGGCTTACCAGTTACAGGCTCTGCCAGTATAGGAACACAAACCCCGATTTTACCGGGGCACCCTTTTTGACCATTTAACCTAGTGCATATTCGGAATCTATAGTGACCATTCCAAACTAGGACATGTTGCTTACCCGATTATAGGTTGTTTGAAACCACTGTGTGCGTAGTGAAACCCTAGCTCCTGACAAAAATAGGACAGGAAAACCCTACCCCAATATAGGGGTGTTTTGGCTCTCACTTATCTGCTATGTGCTTTAGAGTGCGTCTCTATAGGAATGCATGTATCAGTTTGCAAGTTTGGGCATCAGGCCTGTGGGCACCAGTTCAGTATTTTAGGATTCAGTTCACTTGAGGGTATCGGTTTACAGGCAGAATTTTGGGGCAGAATTCAGTAGAGGGCACAGTCATCCTGTTATGCTCAAATTTGTTTTGGCAAAATTGGGCTGAGATGCTGCACGTTTTCTCTTTTGCTTGGTAGTCTGGGAACCATAGCTTCAGAGGG